CGCTCGAAAACTCGACGAAGCCGCGATTAATTTAAACGAACGAGACGAGTAAAAATAAATGATCGGCAAACAAATTTACGAATTATTACGAAAGCTTATTTATCGAGTTGATTGATGATCGGAATATGTGGAGAGGAAACGAAGATTACGAGCGACGCGAGTTTGACGATAGGAAGAGACGTGATATTTCGATTAATCTGATAATTTGGCACGCCAATAATCACAAATTTATCGATCCTTCATACGAGACGCGTTTAAGAGAAAATATCTTGCTCGATCAAATTGTCGGAGGAATTTAAATTAAATTAAGCGCGATGATTCAACTTCTACCGCGAACGTACGAAGCGCAGACGTTCCATCGTCTTTCGTAAATAAACTTTCTTTTTTTAAACCGCGAAAAACGAAAAACAAGTCGAAAGTTGGAAGATTCGAAATAAATTAAATTCGATGAATCGGAGAACGCATCGATATCCGATATTCTTGCAAATGGAAAAATTAAAATCGTTCGAATTATTTATTTGTTTCAGGAAGGTGGAAAATCCCGGTGAAAACATCCCGGACACGATCAGCAGTCAAAGGTAAAATTCTCTCCATGTACTTGCTGTTAAACGAAAAACAGAGAGAAAATATCCGGATGGATGATCGAAAATTGTTTGGGGAGAAGGGTCCCCTCCAAGGGTAGGGTTTTATGTAACAACAAATCTCCTTATTACGCTCTCCATTGGAAACAAACAAACGAGAGAGAGAGAGAGAGTTAAAACAAGCGGAAACACATTCTTAGGATGTGAAACGTGACGTAAAACGAGGCACGCAACAGCTATCCGGTGTCTGTAAAAAAGGGAACTAAGATATCGCGGAACAATTCTATCCAACAGCGAAAGCAGAGTAAACGTGAGAGACAGGCGGGATAATTTATAGTCAAAGTCCAATTATAAAGAATGCTCGTTCGAATGATTAGAAAGTAGCAACCTGGAAATTCTATAAAAGAAAAATTAATTAACACAGCTTTTTTGGCGTTTAATTAAAGAAGAGAAGGGGAGGTTTCGCGACAAACCAGTATCGAAATTGTTTAATTAAATCCTGTCTGATAACTTCTCGATAACATCCAAGAATTCGAAGCTACTATATTTTCGAAAAGAAAATTAGCATCTTCTTTGAAGCTTGAATTACAAGCTCAACCCCTCGCCTCGCAATTTAAATAAGAAATTCTATTTTTAATTTAAGCAGATATGCTTAAATTATCATCTCTGTTCTAATCTCCGCAAATTTTATTCCTTGTTCTTTAAAGGAAAAAAAAGGGGGGGAGGGGAGGGGGGAAGGAAAGATATTCGTAATTTTCTCGATGCGAAGAAACGAAGAATACCTCGTCGTCGAGGGACGATCCTTGGGACAACGATCGAAGGTAGAAATATATTTCCAAGAAGCGGTTCAAATTCGATTTTCCTTGAAGCAAGTCACGCGCCGTCAAATATCGCGAAATACCTTCATCCACGCGTCTGCTTTTACCCCCTTTTCCTGGTAAACATTCGTCACCAGCGCGACAAGATAATTATACACACAGCTCGTTTCCTTCGCCGAGAAATACGAATATCGCGTTTCATCCACGATATCCGATTACGAACGAAAAAAAAGAATTATTCCGCGTTTCTCTTTTGATCGAATGATCAAAGTGTCAGATCGTTGAAGATCGTTGGCTCGATTGTGATAATGGATTTCGTGTCTCCTTCTTTTTCTTTTTTTTTTTCTTTTTTTAAACGATGAAATATGAGAAATATTTTCACGAATAAAATAAAAAAACTGTTTGGATCGTTCTTTGCTACTTTTCGATTCGAATCGACGAGAAGTTAATACATCGATCCCAAACAATTTTGAAATTACCGATTCGTTGCCCCGCCGGATATTTATTCGACGATTCAATCCAAAACCGCAATCAATAACCGTTACGAGTTATCGATGATGTGCAAATAGTGATGATATATATATATATATATATGATTGTATCGAGCCTCGTTTCAAATGAATATTTTAAAACTTTATTACGAATATTTTTTTAAAAATATTCATTTTCGAACGAAATTTCTTTCAAATTAATATATACTTCGCGATATTTCTCGATCAATTTTTCCCCCCTCAAAAATAGTAGAATATGGGCAAAGTGAAAAATTATTGGTTCGATTCGTAGAATTAGATGTATCAAGATTGTTAAAGGGTTGATCGATGGTCGTTGGTGATTGGCTCGAGATCGATAACATGCGATTATTAATTATTAATTAATTAATAATGCGAGTGAGAATAAAAATTAACGATCATGTTTTGTGTATGCCTCGAAAAACACTTATACAAACATTGTCTATTTTCGTCGAATAAGTGTTTGGAAGATTCGTTCGAGTATCATTTGTTCTTAGATTTATATATTTACAATAAAATTATTCTTTTTCTTCGTTTGTTTGTAAACTTTGCCCCGTATATAATAACTGTCCGTAGAAAAGAAAATTATTTCGTGAAATTCGGCTTTGAAGCAGAGTGCACAATTAACCGCTTGATGATTCTGCGCCGCTTAAACGCGGCACAATAGCTGGTCGAGCAGGGAAGAGAAATTTAATTTTCTCCCCTGTTTCTCGCTTAAACCTCTTTCCACGACCGAGGGGCAAACCGCTGTTTCTTATTGTCCCTCAGGGTGTACAAGAAGTCATCGCCGAACAACAAGCTCACTCTCTACTTGGCGAGCAGGGATCTGATCGTGGGCGAGGCGAAAATCGACAAGCTGCAGGGCGTGCTGTTGCTCGACCCAGAGTTTTTGCAAGGTAAAAGGGTAAGTGTCCCTTTGCGGGGTAAAAATTTAAATCTCGTTCGTTTCGATTGAAATTAACTTGGTTTCAACGACGTGACACACGACGTGATGAATCGATTTCGTTCCTCTTCTTTCTTTTCTTTGTCTCATCTCTTATTGACTCGATGCGTGAAACTATTACAAAATTCAACGCAATAACGTGATAATTGAATTTCTGCTCCGACGAGAAGAATAAATAGACAAATGAGTAGCATTCTTCTGAGATAAAATTGGAGAAGTTTTGTATTTTTTTATCTTATTTCGAAGCGAATTCGAAGAGAAATGCTTTGATATCTCTTCTTCTAAAATAAAATTGGAAGTGGAATTTTTCAGGCACGAATGAAAAAATGAATATTATCTCTGAATATTAATCGATCGTTCGTCTGTCTGTTTCCAAGGTATTCGGGCAGATTACGTTGACTTTTCGTTACGGGAGAGAGGATGAAGAGGTGATGGGGCTGAAATTCTGTAACGAGGCGGTTATGTGCATCGCGCAACTGTATCCGCCGTATTCGGGCGCTGATCAACAAGAAACGACCCCGTTACAGGTAAATTCTACTAAGTCGTCATATATATATATATAATCTAAATATAGAAAATACACGAACACTTTCGATTCAAATTTTTAAATTATTGAGAAAAAAAAAATTGAAAAATCGTTCCATCGAATGATCTCTTTTTTTTTCTTTTTTTTTTTTTTAAGTAGAAAATAATATTTCGACGAATCAAAGAATTTTTCAAAACTTTGTAAATAGAGCACGAGAGAGATCATGGAGATCGTGGAATTTGAAATTGTACAAAATCTCGTAAGCAAATAGATCCAATATGATAATTTATAAATGAATATCAAGATCGTTGCAAAAACTTGGATCCAATCTGTCGCAATAAATAACACCGACGATGGAACAGAGAAAAAGAGAACAAGAGGATAAAGTTCTCGATTAATTTTTAGAAACGAGAGAGAGAGAGAGAGAGATATTCTTAATTCGCAATCCGCGTTTATTACGACATTTCGTTCATCAAAGTTGAGGAAAAATCCTCCAAGATTCCTTCCTCGCCTCTGGCAAGAAACGACAAAGAAGACGTAGTTTTACTCTTTTTTTTTCTTTATAAGAGAAGTATAAGATAAAAAGAGAGAGAGGAAACAGACCGCTCGGCTTGCTTCGATCAATTTCATGCACCGATGATTACAAACTTATATCTACGCAACACCGATTGTTAACTACATTAGAGGAGCCAAGTATTTGCTCGCCAGGGCGTGAAATTCAAACAGGTTTCTCTCAGGAATCAGATCGTTCGATTCAATTTCGAAATTTCACGAGTTAGGAAATGATTGTGAAGAATTAAAGACGGAAAAATAGGAATTGATGATGGGAAATGTTTTTAAACGTATGAGAATACGTATCTCGTCGAAATTAACTATTGTCTCTCTGAAGAACAAAAGAGCGTTGTAACAGATAACAAAAGTAAATCTACAAAAGTCTGTACAAAAGCAAATCAGAAGGAAGACAGACATCGCTGTTGGCTCGGATCCAAAGAAAGAAAAAAAAAAAGGTATTTGAAAGATCGCACGAAAGAATAGAATAGTAAGTCTGGAAAATTTGTATCGATAATTATACGATTAGACTTGTTGAAATATTTATTTGTACTTTTGTCGTCGAAATAACGGGATGGAATTTAAACAAGAATTTAATTAATCGTTTATAACACATGTATATTGGAGTATTTTATTATTTTATTTTGGATATCTCCATTTTTGTACGTTATGCAGATTTTTGTATATTTAAACATTTCTCGCGTATGCAAATAACGAAACGGGCAAGTAATGAAACGTTATAAAAGGTACAAATATTTCGTTTCGCCGGGAAAAAATTGTTTGTTCAAAATATTTCCAAATATCGAAACGAAACTTTCGATCAATGGAAGGAACATTCGACACGATTTTTGAATTTGTCAATTCATGAAACCAAGCCAAATCGATCGAGTTCTCCTCGATACTCTGTGAAATGCAAATATCTTCTTGGATTAAAAGGAATACAATTTATTTAAATAAATTTCAAGCAACATTTGCGGAAACTTTCGAAAGAATAGAATCGTAGTGTTGGGTATGAGTCGAGCTCGAGCAAACAAACAACTCGAAGAAAATATCATTGAACATTCGTTGGAACAAAATTATTATATTTATTATTTTCACGAGCAATTAATGATCGATTCATTTATCGTATCGATCCATCGACAGACGAGATAGAATGGACATGGTTGCATTAGAAATTTAATATCGGGCTGAATGAATTGTTTTCAACAATTGCTTCTTCCAGCTCTTTTAACCGCGATAACATTCGAGCAAGCAAGCGTTACACGCCATCGAACATGGACAAAGGGAAAAACAATATTCTCTTGGAATTCTGTCCTGAATGTAACGATTGTTAAAGATAATCCCTTCGTGTTGAACTATTTTATTATTTTCTTCTTCGAACAATAATAAGTACAATAATAATAGCGATGGCTTAAAGCAGAATTAATAAAATTTAATAATAATAATTGCATCGAAGATTGATCCTCTTCAAAATGATTCTAGCAATCATATTTTTGAAAAAAACGAGTCTAATCAAATTCTCAGACGCGTCTCGATCATCCCAATCGAATTAACATCAAAGATGTAAATACATTTTAAATACAGAAAATATTTTAAACTGATCGAGGATGTGCAAAATCAATATGGCGTCCATCTCGGTCAGTTAACCGTGGAAGGTGTTTTAAGCGAACAAGGTGTTAAGGGAAGTCTCTTGATAGATCGTTGATCCTGATGTTGCAAATGAACCGTGTTAAGCTTATGGAGGGCGGGATGGGTGTTATATGGGTCGTATGCCTTGTAACGTGATACGCGCCACGTCACCGAACAACGTGCATCGAACCGTTTCGAAACAATCCCCTCCTCGCCGTCCGTCCAAGAAGGCACGAGGAGGCTTTCTAAAAGGCTATTACCCAAGCTTCCTCTTTCTTTGAAATCTTTCTATTGAACCGAGAGAGAGAGAGAGAGAGAAAGGATGAGAGAGATGAAGGATAAGAAAGAAGGATAGATGAAATTGTCGATCACGATATTTCAATATTATTAAATTTCGCGAGAATATTGGATGGGAGGAAGAGAGAGAGAGAGACTTGAGATGCGAGAGATCGTGAGTTGAAAATTATCTGGTAAGGTGTGTACATTATATTTATTTTTTTGCTGGTGAGAAAAGGAAAAAAATATCGATTTGATAAATGTTCATTTTTCAAGGCCGAGAAATTGAAGATATTCGACAGGTTCATTTTCCACTTAACAAATTGAATCTTTGGAAATATATTTGGTTTATAGTTAAAAAGATAACCTCGTTTTTTAATCTCCAAAGGGAAGAAGTATGAAAATTTGCGTTTTATTTTTATCAAAACTGTACACGCGTTTTTATTAAAACGATACACGATTCGATAAAAAAAGAAATCGATTTATATGCAGCAATCGAAGCGTAGATATATTAGAGGTAATAACGAAGAGCTATCGAAAGTTAATAACCGAAAAGCTATTTCGTTTCCAGGATTTATCACACAATTTTTTTTTTTTTATTAACGTTAAAAAAAAATAGAAAACGATTTATTATAATTCATTCGAGACATCTATGAAACTGGTGATAAAATATGATTTTGAGAAGAGAGAAAGAAATGATGGGAAAAAAACGATGATTTTTAAAACATTGAATAAAGAGCAGATTGTGGAAAATGTTGTTGTGTGATCAAATGGTTCAATGTAATTATAAAAAAAAAAAAAAACTTTTGCAAGATTATTTAACGAAGAAAAAAAAATCGGGAAAATTTTATAAAGACCACGAAAAAGACTACTTTTAAACCAACTTGAAAACACTTTTAACTTGCTAACTCTTCATTCATTTTAATCTCGTGCATGCTTTTCCATCCACTCCCCTATTCATAAGAATATTATTCCTCTATATACACTCTAGAAGATCTTTAAAATCGTTTAAACTGATTACGTGAACGTTACAATAACAAAAAGCAAATATTCCCAGATACCCACGTGTGAAAATGTTTCAATCTCTCAGAAATCTTCTGCACATATACTATATATCTATATATATATTCTCTATAATGCGCGATAAGTAGCTTTACTTTCGTCTAACTAGCGTAAATATGAAAGAGAGAAAAAGTGCGTCAGCAGAAGCAGTCAATTGATGGTGAAAAATTGCATAAATTTGTTTATACGACTCAAAGATATACAAAGAGTGGGAAGAGAATATAAATTAAAAAAAACTAGTCTGATTTCCTGAGAGAAATTTCAACAAAGAAGAAAGAGAGAGAAAATTTATTTTTATCGCAAAAGGATGAATAACAATTAAAAATATCGCTCGTCTTACTAATATGATACGATCGAAGATTCTAAATTAATTTAAACGTTCTTTCGATTGAAACACGTTATTGGATCTTTATTTAATCGATTGCCTCCGGTTTAATTATTAATCAGGGGATCTGATATCGAGCATGGTGTGTCGCACGATGTGAATAAAATATGCAAATCGCGTGCAATATGAAAGTACTCGTATTTGCGTGAAAAGCCGCGATCTAATTATTACAACCGCATTATCAGTGAGATAATGTGAGTAATAACTAAATATTAATATCTAACCGAATGTAATCCAAATCCAAAGCGATCGACAAATCGGCCGAAGAGGACGAATTTTCCTCCAATTCGAATAATCGTTCGAATAATGGAAGAGCTAATTTTATGAGATCTAATAAAACGGATCGATGAAATACGTAATTCAAGATTTTTTTAAATTTAAATTCTCTCGCAAGACAAAAGAGAATAAAGGAAGAACACCTCGAGGAAGTTGCGTAGCGAGTACTCCGAAGTTAAGTGTCCAGTGAACGATTAACGTAAATAGAAGATTGAAGAAAATGGCACGTGAAAAGAAAAAAAGGACGTAAAAAACGATGTTGCGAGAAGAGAAAACGATCGGAGTGTACTTGGCACTTATATCTTTTAAAACGCTTCAATTTAATTGGAACGTGATCTTCCAGGATTTGAGAGATTATTTTTGCAATCAAATCTAAATGGTAATGGTACTCTTCGAGAAAATTAACGCATTTCTTCACGAATTTTTTAGACCGAGGAATGCGAATCAAACGTCATTGTAAACGTGCCTAAAATGGCGCAGAGGATTCTAAGAATCCTTTCTCGAATCGAGGAAACATCTAACCCGTTGATTCATTCATTTAGATTTTTTACAAGAGATTATAGAATCACTATCGATCAACTTCGAACTTAGAGTTGTCGTTACATCGTACGAGAATTATTAAACAAAAAAGCTTCTGTTTTCTATTGGCCAAGAGAGAGAGAGAGAGAGAGAGAGAAGAAGGAAGAAAAACTTAATCCCGCCACGTGGATAAAATTTGATCGAGGTAGGAGATATCGTAACCGGAAATGGTGGAATAAATGGGCTGCGAAAGGTTTCGCCTGGAAATAAAACGTTGGCGCAATGTTGGGGGCGGGGGAGGAGCA